GAAGCGATTGACGATGTAAATTTATACGGAAATGCTTGTCACATCGCTCATAAAAAAAATTCTCACTACGACAAGTTCCTATGACCACAATATTTATGCCTCATATTGCTAGCGACACTGTCATTAGGTAGTGGACTTGGCGTTGTCCAAAAAATAGGGTATCAAAGAGAAATGTATAACCAGACCCTGACACTATCCGCGGGAATGGAAAGCGCTGGTATGGCAGCAAAATCGAGAATAAATTGGGCATTGGCGCGTTGAGCGCTTGTCGAACTGGCTCACGGAGCTCCTGCGTTACTCGCTATCCACAATCGAGCTACCAAGATACACCATTACACATTGCTTAAACGTAACATAGAACGTAAGAGTTATCATTGATTACGCGTTTTAGAATAGGAATTACAACCATTATTTTTATGGCCTCTTTCTAGCTTTTTGTGCCCGCCACGACACATTGCAAGCTCCAGTTCTTGCGCTAGATCGTTGTTGCGAGCATCAAAGCGCTGCAGCTCTGCCAGTGTGATCCACTCAAATAGTGGCACAATAATCAGCGCGCCCTGAGTCGGAAGAGCACCTTGTCGAGCAAATCTTACAGCACTTTGTGGAGTGGGGAAGCACTGATACACATTCATTATTATTGACTCAAGATTTGCTGGTCGCGGTGATTGGAGTGAGACGCGCATGCACGCAAAGCGCTGGCTCGTAACACGTTGCAAGTGTGCGGCACTGAACTGTGCGGTTCTTTCTTCTCCTTTAACATTGAATTGGTTTCTCAGATTCATTATCATCTCGTCCTTTCGGTAAATAGCAAAGCAACTGCAATCTCGACCATATACCAGTTCTGGTATCGTTTCCACTGCGCATATTTGTCCAAAGAAGTCAAGGGCTTCATCGACAGAACAAACTTTGCCAAACACTCGAAATCGAGTGTACTCTGATTGGCCTCCTGCGCCCACAGCTGCAGCCGCCTTTCGAAGCTGGTCTGCAGCAGATTGTGACATTTTAAATGGGTTGCTCGAAGAAAATAGCAAAGACATCCCTCTGGATGCAGATCGAGTAATCGTTTCTTTCATAAACCCTAGCACGGCGAAAGGCTGATTTACGCCATGTACGGGATCCCACATGGCTGTCGCCGATGAAAAAGAAGCTGCGTCTTTCAACTTAGCATCGCTCCCAGCAAATTCGTTTCTCTCTGCACGAACTTGGTCACAGAAATTTAAATCACCACAGTATTCATTTGTACTCGCAACTGCACCTTTTTTATTGCTTTGATCGAAACGGCAGTCTTCGGCAATGCTACTGAAGAGTTGCTTGTATCAATAATACTTGGAACTTTATAACCAGCTTGACTTTCAAGTGCATTTTTGACATTTTTTATGTTATCCTTCTGGGCATCATTATAGACCTTATTCGTTAAACGCACCATTTTTGGTGCACGCATTTTCATTTTCCCTTTCTGACGTTTAAGCAAAAGGGAGCATGAATCAATTAAAGTGCAAGGGTCGGCACGTGTCAATAGCGGTGCTGAGTGCGATTTCGTCATCATAGAGAAACCACGAGAGCCAGGCTGTACAGAAGCAGACCCAAATATGTTGTTTTGGTATCCAGTCATAACACCGGTAATAAAAGCTTTTTTGTAATTCTCCCACGCCACTGTTTTCAGTGCACGACTTCGAATAGATTCACGAGCGTATCCCAAGGATAAACGTTGCAAGCTTTCGCGAGCTTCTGCCGACATGAGGTGAAAGATGTCAAATCGTGACAAGACAAGAATCTTCATCGGTGACTCCGCTAAGATGGAATGCTCACGAACGAAAATGTCATTATATTTTCCGGCTGACGCCCTAAGAGTGACAGCGAAAGTGAGTGCAGTCATTAGAGGGTATGCCTACTTGATGAAGCAACCTTACTCCGCGCAGCCGAGAACAGAAGTAGGACCAAATCTACCTAGCTCATAGATTTGTCGGGCATTTGTAACAGGTTTTTTTCCTG